GGTCTGAAACTTCTGAATATCAAATCAGAAATTGATTCTGACTACTTGTTCTCGAGATACAGAAGCTTCAAGATTGTGTGACGTCACCATTGGCTCTCATCCAACTTTGGGTCCGACTCAGCCGTGAGGAGTTGGAGAGTCGATCTCGGCAAATGATCGAAACTGATCGAAATGCAACTTTTTTTTTCGAATTTTTTGAAACTTGGTGATCTTACTAATTCGGGTCTGAAACTTCTGAATATCAAATCAGAAATTGATTCTGACTACTCGTTCTCGAGATACTGAAGGTTGAAGATTCAGTGATGTCGCCATTGGCTCTCATCCAACTCCAGGTCCGACTCAGCCGTGAGGAGTTGGAGAGTCGATCTCGGCGAATGATCAAAACTGATCGAAAAATATGATTTTTTCTAAAATTTCGCCAAATTTGGTGTTCTCACTAATTCAAACCTCCCGAACAATAATATCTATTCAAAATTTGATTCTGACATCTTATTTGTTGTGAGATATTGTTGTGAGATATTTAGTGAAAAATTTGAACAAACCAATGAAATTCTGGCATCATACCAAACCCGTCCATCTGGATATACCCATACTAGAAAATTATCATCCGTGATTTCCTTAAACATATGATATCCAATGAATGATGAAATACTCAGATTCAAATACTTGAAATGATGCCGAACGAGCATTAGCGAAATAAACGTCTGGATGCCACATCATGCTAAACACTTTCTTGTCCTTCACCAATATTGGAGCAGAGTGATTATGCTTTAGGCGATGATCCATCCATTCCTTCAGATATCATATTGAAAATGATGGTTAGTGTATTAAATAATTAAAAACCTGTTGAAAATACATATCCAAATGATAATCCATAGTTTGAGCACTGAAGGATGACATACCTTCGATGAACATGGATAAGGAGACATTCGTTGGAATTCCTGAAACACAATACGTTACTGATAGTACATTGATTGCAGGTTGTTATTTCGTTGGAAAGTAGGCAGATCAGTCTATTTTAAGGCTATTAAGAGTGAAAAGCTAGGCAAAGACACTCTATTTGGATGCAATGATTAGTTCGTATCAATCCAGTTAAAGAACTTTTCACTTCACATCAACCGTTCTCTCGTTAGGAAGAAGAAGGTTACAGAAAAACGAATGACAAGAGCCGGATGGTTTTCCGTTTCCTAATCTTTCATGAAGAACGGTAGAAGGTTCCAACTGCATGATGATTAAGCTCGATCCAAATAGCCCTGGTGATAAGCGAGTGAGTGGTCAAACCCCTTTTCTTATACAAATTTGCATATTTTCTTTGTTTTTTCTCATTTTGATTCAAGATGATCAGCTGTGTCAGCTTAACATGATGTATGGAAAAGGAAGAGACATAGAGAAGAAAAGAGAAATTTCCTTTCTGAGCAAGAAGCGCTAGTGAGAAGTTGGTGAGAAACAGTGTAGAAAAAATGAAAGCAGAAAGAAAGCGTGCTCGGGCAGCTTGAAGTCAAAGTTTGAAAGCTCAGATTCGTCATAAATTCAGAAAAGGAGTAAGTTGGAAAATTGGGTGATGTGTGCGGAAAATCTTGTTTTATGTAGTTCAGCTTCTTTTTGTTTCTCGCAAAAACGTATTCAGAAGAAGACAGAAGACGAAGGACATGCTCACATCAATATTAAGTGAAAAGCTTTCAATTAATCACAGATATTCTGACATTATCCGATTAGAAGAGTAGAGAAGAGCATGTTCGTTGCTGTTCAAAGAGTTCATTAGGTCAGAAGTGCTATTAAGAAAAAACAAAGAAGAAAACGCAGAAAAATGAAATTCACCTGCTCCATGAATGGCTACGTATTCTGAAGAAGATAACACATAAACACATATTATCTATTTGTTTTTTTGTTTTTTTTTTCTGGCTGGCGGAAAATATAAAAACCATCAACAACCTCGTTTCAAATGGAAATATTCCGTGTGAGAATCTCTAGTAGAGGTAACAGAGGTAAACAAACAATTCATTTATCTTATTCGTATTAAAACTCTTTGTTAAGTTAAGAAAAAAAAAACTATTTTTCTGTTTTCTCTCACATGTTGTAAGCTCGAATAGGTTGTGAATTCAGAAAAAAACTCGACGACATCATCAATTCAAAAACCAACAGTTTGCTTCTTTCTTCCAAATTTTCATACAAACGTCCGCAGAAAGCACTAGCTCAATAAAAAAAATGGAGGAAAAGTTGCAAAAGGAGAGAGCAAAAGGACCAAGTTTACAATTTCTAAGACTCACACCAACCCCCCTGCTCTTGCTTCGAATGGCTATTAAATGGATAAATGAAGGGATGAACTGCGGCAGGATGCAGAAAAAGGAAATCAAAACGCAAATCTCATTGGTCTACTATGGTAAACATACGATCCAGAAAATTCAAACATACCATCATATTGGGTTGGTGTAGCATACTTGTTATAATATGTTTCATTACGAAGAATATCCAGAAATTCGCGCGACAACGGGATGAAAGCCACGTCTTCAGCGCGAACTGCCAACAGCAGAAATAGAAAATACAACATCACGTCATACTGAGAAATAGATCTAAAATATATTATTAATTATATTACTTATTATAAAATAAAATATTAATATACGAAGGAATCATCCATTTCAATATGCTAATGCACGTGGAACGCACGTGAAGTTCACGTAGATCACAGGAAGTTCAAAAATTTTCATTTTAAGAGCAAAGCTAGAGACGAACGGTTGTATGAAGATGATCTCAACGTTTATAGTTTGAAATTTTGTTCTTTGTTTTACAAGCAAGCAGATTCTTGAAGATCAAAAGGCTCACTGCAAACGCTTTTAAAAACTGTTAGATGACGTAATGAAGCGAATGTTATGACGAGAGAGAAACAATAGAAAGGGAAGTTTCGAAAAGATGAAAGGGAGAAGTTGTGTCTTTGAAACGTTTTTTAAAAAGGAAAAAAAACGTTTCATGATTTTTATATTTTTTGTTGCCATAGTAAGGCTTGTTAGTGCGTCATACCTTACATAGGAATGAAGCTTGTATGTGTGTATGTGTGTGTGTGTGTGTGTTTTTTGTGTCAAAAGACAGAAAGCTGAAGGCCAGATAATCTGCATTGTGACATCTATTTTTTCTTCTCTTCCTCTTGCTCATTCAATCTCTCTATCTTTCTCTCTCTCTCTCTCTCTCTCTCTCTCTCTCTCTCTCTCTCTCTCTCTCTCTCTCTCTCTCTTTCTATCTCTATATCTTGCTCTCTCTTTATCTTTCACTCTGTTTTAGGAGTTTGGATAGAAATTTTATTTGGCTCTCCAACACATAGTAAGATGGCGAAAAGGGAATGCGAAGGGGAACGTCCCCGTAGAAATCTGGAGACAAGTTGTCTGCCCTTTCATATTAAGAATTCGAATTGAATTGAAGATTGTGTTGTTAAAATACACTCAAATGAAGCCCTTTTTTTCTTTTTCACAACCAATATTTTCGTTCTTTTCATGAATGAACTCTAAACAGATGCTTTAAATAAGAATATGCGATGTTTCGTGGTCAGAAGTTCGTTAATGATGACACAATTTCTGATTTTTTCTTAAAAGGGCAATGAAGTGAGAGAGAGAGAGAGAATGAGAGAGAGAGAGAGAGGGATTGAATGAATCAAGATGATGAAGAAGTAGAGAGGGTGTAAAATCAAACTGATGCTTCTTAATGAAACATCGAACAGCTTGCTGCTTGAATATAATCCAACGAAAACGGTTGAGAGAATCTTCGTCAAAGTTTCTAGCAAACTGTTTTTATAAAAGAAAATTGTTTGTTTATAAAAGGATATGAAATTCACGAGTAATATATACATAAAACGCTAGAAGATCATCTTTCACTTCCATAATGACAGTTCAACACTATCAAGGAAGCGAAAAGATGGCAGACAAGATGGAGAGAGAGAGAGAGATTGAGAGAGAGAGAGGGAGAATGAGAAGCATGTTTCTTATTCTCATTTACAAATATTAAAAAAATACGTATTTAACACCAAAAGCTATGAAAGACCAGAGTTCAGGAAGTTCCGATAGAAGTACCATCAAGATGAAGAAGAAGGAGGAGAAGAGTTAAATGAGGACAGAGGCTAGCAGAGAGCATCACCTCTTCTAAAAGAGTAAAATCCTTTTGTTAGATGGCCTATGAGGCCATAGGTTTCTTGCTTTTCCCTCCCCCTACTTCTTCCGATTCATAAGCTCTCTTACACTCTCCCTCTCTTTATCATATTCTCGCATTTGTTCTCTCTTAGAGCATTTTCAACTTCACGGAAGCGCTGACCAGATAGTCGTAAGAACTCTTTAAATTTCAAGAAAACAAAAGAACTTTCATGGAAATGACGCGAGCCTTTTCTAGGTTTTTTCCGACTCAGACTCATCTTATCACATTCCGCTGTTGGTCTTGAAAGACCCAAGACAATCTCATATTCTCCAACTATCTTATTCATTCTTCCAACTGTTTGAACATTCATCTTATTGTTTTAAAAAAATTAGCATATTGTCTTATAACAGTTAATTCAATAATACATTAGATGAATGACGAGCATGAGAGAGACAGAGAGTGAGAGTAGAAGATGAAGCTGAGGCAAAGAGAATGAATGCAGAAGGTAAGGAAGCGGATGAATCTCGTTGATCATAAATCTTCTTAAAAGGTGCAAAATGGTCTGATTGGTCTTCGAAGTCTTTTCAACCTTTATTTGCAAAACTTTCTTTAGTTCATAATTTTCTATTTTTGGGAACAAAAAAGATTCAGATTCTAAGAATTTCAATTGAGACGCACATTCAGATAGCTTCTAAGATCTAAACGATTAACAACCTGAGATGAATAGGACGAAATGAGGAAAAACGTTTTTTGAAGGACATGGGGGGGGGGAGGGTGTCAAATCGTTTGAAGAGACAAGTCAATGAGATTAACACAGAGGTTACGGCCAAGTATGTTATGGCTTAACTCTCTATAGGAAGAAAGCTAAAGAGCATGAAGAAGCTCATCGAAGAGGATAAGCATAGGGGAAATCTGAGAATGAACAAGTAGGAAAAGACTTGGAATATGAGTATTTGAACGAAGACGGAACTTTCTTTTGGCAAGTACGTCCATCTATAATTATAATCAGCTTATATATACTTTTGAGGAGAAGAAGCTTAAATTGCTTTTGAGAAAATCGTTCTTCCAGCACAATTTCTGTATGAAATGAAAAATGAAAGTGTTAAAGACACGAAAATATACAAAGTCCCGGTGGATCTCATGCTAAATGCAAGACTCCTTTTATAGAAATGAAGCTGTCGGTTTTGAAAAGGAAACGCCTGAAGTTAAAACAAGGAAAGAAATGAAATATTCACTGGAAGCTTCTTAACTCCTTCCAGTTGGAAATGAAGCTGCAGCACGTGCTTTAATGACAACAGATATATGTAATTGTTGAATTTTAAAATATGCCTTGTTCCAAAAGATTCGGTAAGAAGGATGTGCCTATAGAGGGAGAAACAATAGGAGACAAACACCGAGAGAAAGAGAGAAGGAAGCAAAGGAAGAAGGGAGGTGGTAGTGAAGAATGAACAAAATCAACATAATAAGCATTTCGATCTCAACTTTACATTATATTCAGAAGCTCTTCTCAAAATAACTTGACAAAAGCCATAAAGGGAAATCAATCGGATAAACAGAAATGTCTGAGCTTCATTTCAAGAGTGAACCACATTAAAATTTAAATAAGAAATGCTCCCAGAGCCTTCTCCATATAAAGTTTTTTGGCTGCTTCTCTCTCTCTCTCTCTCTCTCTATACATTCTTCTCTTTCTCTCTCTCTATCTTATGTGCCATTCCCTTCTCTCTCTATACATACATCTCCATGTTTCTCTCTCTATCTATCTCTCTCTCTCTTACACTTTTTTTTATAAATAACGGAAGGCTAACAGAAACATCCGGAGCATTCTGAATGGAAAGAAGGTGAGAGCATCGGAAATTCTGTCAATTTACATGTGTGAAGCTTCAAATACTGAAATTTACTATAATAACTATATAATATACACTACTATACACCTACATACTTTACCTAACTTATATCTTATTCTCTTTCTTTTCACCTCCACCCACACTCCTACTCACTGCTCTCAATTTTGCTCAAACTACTTCCATCTCTCTTCTTATACCATAATAGTTATTAGAAAAATGAAAACTACCATTATATATGAATAGAAATAAGAAAAACAATTCACTCTCAACAAATAGTTTAAGAAAATAAGAAACAAAAGAGAAAAAAATATTTTTTAATTTATAATTTTGCTTGATGACGATGATGATGATGAAGATGCTGTCAGTAATCAGCCGGCATCAGCAGGCGTCATAATCATTATTTGAACGTTCAAATCTTTATATTCACGTGAAATGCACGTGACTATCCGGCGGCCATTTGCAATGGTTCAGACGTGTCGCTCGGTTGCTTTCCTCTCCACCAAATATCAAAAGTGTCATTGGGTGAGAGGGGAATCTATGTGAAAATCAAAAAAAAAAAAAGAAAAAAGAAATTTTTCTTGTTTCCTTTTTTTTTCTTTTTTTCGTTCATTGTCAAAACTTTATTTTTTTGATTTTATTTTTCTTCTGTCTGAACTCCATCATCTCCTCGTGTGGAGTGAAATGAAAATACAACGATGAAAACCATAGTTTTATGTAGATTGAAGCTAAAGCAAAAAAAAAAGTTCAACGAAGCATGAAATTCTTATGAATTTCTTTCTATGCAGCACCATATAAAGAGAGAGAGGGAGGTAGAGAGGGAGTGAGAATTGAGATTGTAAAGAGAGAAAGAGGGTGAGGAACATAGGGATTAGGTTGAGTTGAACATGTCTACGAGGATGTGGAGAAATGAAAATCTGAAAAATGGCTGATGACGACGATATGTTTGCAAATTAACCAACATTTTAATTCGCGGAAGTAAAATGTTTGTGGTTGTGGGGCTAAAGATTAAAGGAAAAAGGAATTTTCAGTCTTTTGACTTCATAACAAAATCTTCTTTTTCCTCTCTTCTTCAGAAGCTCATCACATCCGAGACGTCTGTATGGCCTTTACTGCTCCGCTTCTTTTTCCAGCGAGTAAAACAAAAAAAAATGAAAACATTTGCTTTTCCAAGTTTAAATGAAGAAAAAATATTTATTGCCCCCAGAATTTCGAATAGGATATGATTATGGCGAAAGCTTCAGAGAACATGTTCAAACTGAGCTTTTTGGAGAAGAAGCAATGAGGATAGAAATACTCTTACATAAGCAGAGGCATAAGAGAGCAAAGAGGGGTGGGAGGGAAAGTTCAAGATGAGTGAAAGAGCCAAAAAGAAAATTACAAAATTTCATTAAGCAATAGCGTGTTGTTAATAAAGTTGTCATAAACTTTATAACAGAGAGACTAGTAATTACTTGATGATATATAGAGAGGAAATGAGCCAAAAAAGGCTGATGGTCAAACAGACCAAGAAATGTCAGTCAAGAGATGCTTTGAAGGAAACAGAAGACAAAATGAAGAGGATTGGATTGCTCTCTCTCTCTCTTTCAAG